CTGATCTGCCTCGCCAGGGAAGAGCGCAATGATGGTGCCAACTTGGGCCAGTGAAGCAACATCCTCCACAACTAGATTGAAGAACAAAAAAACGACAGCAACTTGTCTGTTCCCCTTCTCCCAACTCCCCAGCACTGTTCCCATCCCCCCAATTCCCCAATAAAAATTAAAAAAAAATTTAAAAAAAAAAATCTACTTGGGGCAGAGGAGACTTGAAGTGCCTCACTCAATGACACTGGGGTACAGGTCCCCAAAACCATAAATAGCAGTCTACTATAAAGGTGAAAAATAGTTTGAACAAAAGAAGAAACCAGTATTTTAATTTTTGAGGTTATGAGAGCTTGAAATAATTTCAAAGAAGCAGCTTTTAAAAGAAAACATTTCAATAGACTATCTCAACCTGGAAGTTTAAATTTACTGTTTTCAGCTTTTATATTTTTCCAAGCCATTTATATGCTAAGTATTATTTCAACGTAATAAAAGCTATGGGGCATGCAATCCATTTATATAATGATAAAAATACTGAAATTAAAGTTAGCCATTTTCCTTCACACACACAGGACAAAACCTAAGTACTATAAAAATGTTATTACATGACTACTAAAAATATACTTCTTACAATAAATTCAATGGACTACATTATACATGTTTCTTTAAATATTTAATCTTTCATTTCCTATCTGATTTTTTAAGAACTTTTTTTTCAATGAAATCATAAAATCATTGTTTTTAATTAGTTTAAATATACTATCATCTCTGGGGTCTGCTTTGTTCTGTAACTTTCTTCAAGAAAGTGGAAGTGACAAGGGGGGTAACTAACTTGTATTTGATCAATCTCTGGTATGTCTAAAAATAGAGGGCAAGAAAGAGGAAAGAATTATTTGCTACAACGATGAACAAAGATCTCATAAAAGTGTTAGAGGACTGCTATGTCCTTTACAATACTTTGCCTAATTTGATCCCTGAATGACCATCTTTGTCATTTTCCTCTCTTGATCCCAAGTGCTTCTTACCTTGAGATGCCTTTCCATTGCAGCAATACCTTTCGATCGCTTCCTTTATATTATGGTTACACTTGAGAAGTTCATATAATGCCTAGTAGAGAAAGGAAAAAAAAACTATTCAACAAAAATGACCAAAGTTCATACTTAACAGCATTATTTAAAAAAAAAAAAAGGTGTATTTTTAAAAGTCCTGACAAATATTGACTCATACATTCTCTAATTTCAGGATATTTGAGGGTATGTTTACTCAGACATTTAGTCTACATAACTATCCTGGTAGATTGACCCTGGTATCCCGAGTTCACTGTTCATTCTCACTCTACCTCTTAGAAATTATCTAGAAGTATCATTCTTGACTTTTTTTTTTTTTTTTGGCTAGGCCTCTGAGCTGTATTAATTCCCCTATTTTGCATTATTTTTTCTAGTTGGGAAAAATTAAAACCAAACTCTTATCTCTTTATCACCTACTTCCTGCTTTTGCGAGTTTTAATGAACGGGAATAGCAGCAAGATTGGCGTAGAAGTATGCGTCCATTAGTGACTGAGTTTATAATGGTCTCAGCCATTTCCATTTACTATGAAGGGTGTCATTTGTTAAAAATAGAATTTCTTCCTATTAAATGTTTGAAATTATGAATACACAGAATAGAAGTAACAGAGCGCAACTGAAAGTTAAATAATAATCCACCTTCTCAAGTTAAGTTTCAAGGAAGGCAAGGATAGCTCAATATCAGTAAACCTATTACTACATCAATAGGTTAATAATCAATCATTAAAAAAAATCTCAACAGCTGCTAAAAAAGCACCTGATAAATTAGTATCCATTTCAAACTTTAAAAAGCCAAAAACTAATAGTTATAAGTAGACGGTTACCTTACTATAATAAAGATAGCCTATATCAAACAAAGGGCTGGTATCCTTAATGTAAAAGCCTCAGATGTATTACCTTCCATCAAAAGCAGGCCTCAAATCACTATTACTACTAAATGTCTCTATGAGTTATGGTTAATGCTGTAGGAAATAGAACAGGAGTAAGAGATATAATAATGGTAAAGAGGAACACAAGTATAATTCAATAATGACTTAAAGACTAGAAAACCTAAGAAACAACTGAAAATCATATTAGTTTCAAAAGCTTGAGAAAAAAAATGTTTAAATATTTCTCTACATCAACAATATACAATTATAAATAAAACAGAGATCACATTTACAATAGCATTAAATATACATACACATATTTAAAAGATACTGAGAAATTAATTATATGAATATAATTTTCAACAAAAACATTTGAGTGATTAAAAAAAAGTCAAATACATGGAGTCAGACCACGTTCTTAAAGTATAAGGTTTAATGTTTTAAAGTTACTGTTTTAAAGGTACTAATTCTTCCAAAATTAATTTATAGTTTTAATGGAATATCAGTACAAAAAAACCAATGAGATTTCCTTCTGACAGCTGACAAAACTACTTTGAAGTTCAGCTGGTATGGCTTCTCTGTGTTACTTGGGAATTCAAGTTTAAGTCCACCTATCTCTGAGTACACATTAGTCAGGATCACCTAGGCTGGCACTACATAGTGAAAAGGTATATGAGGGACTTGATGATGTCAGAAGGTAAAACAAGGGGTATTCAAAAAGCCCTTAATAGGCAATATTCCACCCCCGCCCACCCAATCAGGAGGGTTCTGCATCTACAGATGCATAGTGCTTAATAAGTGCTCGTAAGTCAAATTGATACAATCTTAATAAACATTACCTGAATGAATTTCAAGAATAATCCAAAAATAACTTTATTATAAAATCTAAAAAAGTCCAACCAGGGCAGGCTAAGTGGCGCATTGGTTAAGAACTGGCTTGGGACGCCAGAGGGCCCCAGTTTGGATCCCACATATGAGGGCCAATGACGCTGCCCTCTAGAGCTAAGATGCTGAACAACAGCTCAACCTGGAGCTAGGTTGCCATGAGTCGCCAGAAACGGAGTAGGCTGCAGCCCTGCTGCAGTGGGTTGCCATGGGCTACAGTGAGTAGTCAGCAGCCAGCGTGAGCGGCCAGCAGCCGCTGTGAGTGGCCATCCAGAAGCCAGCGACTGATCTGCCTCATCCGGGAAGAGCGCAATGATGGTGCCAACTTGGGCCAGTGAAGCAACGTCCTCCACAACTAGATTGAAGAACAAAAAAGGACAGCAACTTGTCTGTTCCCCTTCCCCCAATTCCCCAGTGCTGTTTCCATCCCCTAATTGCCCAATAAAAATCTTTCAAAAAAAAATGAGGTATAGGGGCCAAGTGGCGCGTTGGTTAAGAGCTGGCTTGGGACGCCAGAGGGCCCCAGTTCGGATCCCACATATGAGGGCCAGTGACACTGCCCTCTACAGCTAAGATACTGAACAATAGCTCAACCTGGAGCTGGGCTGCCATGAGTCACCGGCGACGGCGTAGGCTGCAGCCCCTGTGGCAGTGGGTTGCCATGGGCCATCGTGTGTAGCCAGCAGCCAGCGTGAGCGGCCCTCAAGCCGCTGTGAGCGGCCATCCAGAAGCCAGCGACTGATCTGCCTCATCCGGGAAGAGCGCAATGATGGTGCCAACTTGGGCCAGTGAAGCAACGTCCTCCACAACTAGACTGAAGAACAAAATGACAGCAACTTGTCTGTTCCCCTTCCCCCAATTCCCCAATAAAAATATTTTTTAAAAAAATGAGGTATAGGGGCTGGTGGAGTGGCTCAGGTGGTTAAGAGCTCACTCAAGAGTGTGCGCTCTGAGCAACAGCGGTTCGAGTCCCGCCCAAGCTGAGCTGCCGCTGAGCTGCCAAAGGTGGCAGGATGGCTCAGCTAAAAAAAAAAAAGAATGAGGTAAAGAATTCTCAGTGGTAAAGGAAAATAAGATTAAGTGATTAAAGGTATAAAATCATATCTAAAGTAAGATATGTGTATATGTACAGAAAAAAGACCAGAAGACATGAAATAATATAGTGATTATCACCAGGTCTCGAGATTTTTTTAAACCAGTCTTTTCCTAGTTTTAAAAACCTATCAAAAAAATATATCCAGTTGACATGTAAGAAATACTTGTATCAAATGTTAAGAAAATCAGTAAGATACTACTATTTAGCTGCTGCTTCAATGGAATATATACCTGTTCATTATCCCTTGTGTGTGTTCCTGAAGAAATCCTGTCCATTATTTTTTCATTTCCAGTTCTTAATGAGGTTTCAACAAGGTACTCCTTAACTTTGCTCTCCAAAACCACACCAGGACGCCAAAGTAACTGGTCTTCATTTTCATACACTGATAAAGAAAATTCCATTAACTCATTTAAAACAGTAAACACACTCAAAGACATATAACAAGCTGTTCTTCCTCTTCCTTGATAGGCTATTCACGGGGACAAGGAACTAACTTTGAGGACACCAGTAATTCCATTATCTGGCAGGTGGAGCTTTTCACTAATAAAAATTTTAAAAAATTTCTTTTTACTTTATTAAGGGCCAAGTGTTCCAGTGGCTAAAGCAAGTGGCTTTTTGGTGATTGGATTTACTAACCAATCAGAAGGCTTTTTATGCCTAGTAAAGTCTAATATAAAACCCCACAGTAATGTCCTATATTCTCCAAATGAGGGCGTAAAAATAACCTGCGTAAATTCTTTAATAACCTCAAGGGAATTTTCTCTTGAACTCTCAAAATGGCTATATAAAATGTCTGGAAGTTAAAAATTAACAAACAAAATAAAAACCAAAATATCTGCCAATAATAAAATATCTAAGTATATTTTTCCTTTACCGATTTCCTCCCAAAAGGTGAATTTCTTATTTACTGGAGGCAGATTAATCAAAAATGAAAAAAAATAATAAACAGTGAGAAGTAAACTTTCTACAATCTCTGCAACATAAAGAGGCTGATATACTAATAAGCAAAATATCACCAAAACAGGTATACATTTTATTAATGCACAAATTGCTGCCATACTCAAAGCTTCTACCTCACATAACAAAGTAATTCCAGAGGCCCAAGGATTTTTCCCAAGTGCTTCAAGTACATAATAAGTACTAAGTATAGTTAACAATACTAATCTATTAAGAGCTCACTATGCACCATGGTAAGTGCTTTATATTCACAACTGTATAGGCATTATCATTCCCGGTGAGCAGGAAAGTTAAAAATAAAGTGTGCCTGAGAAGCAACAAGACTGACTTTTGTGCTAAGTTTTTGGATCCAGTTTCTTTACTCTCTGGTCAAAACTGAAATAGGTAAAATAGCTTGGGTTTATTCCCTCAAAAGATAGAGAAGTAAACCTTCCCTCCTGAATATGTGTGTAAAACTGAGAGAGTATTACCTCCATTATGTTTACTCTAAGAAACGACAGGTACTGAGCATGTAATTGACTCCAAGGGTGTGTGTGGCATTTGGGTGGTGGGGGTAGAGGGGCTGGGGCATCTGAAGATGATCAGCTGTTTGCTTCCCCAGGACAACTGTCTTCCATCACTTTGAAAGCAGTTTAGGGAAACAGTATCGCTAGGGGCTGCCCAAGGCGGCCAGTCCTCCTTCCCTTTAAATAGGGGATGGCCTGACATAGAGGAAAGGAAGAAAAAGCTCTGGAAGTTTTGTGTCGCTATGCTGTTTTGTCCTTGTGACTTCACAGGAACCAACCAACTCAGGAAAAAAGCCAAATGCATGTGGCCAGATCTACCTGGATTCCAACTTCAACTAGGAAGGTATAACTGAATTTTTATTTCCCATCACCTCACGCTTCATATTTTCAGAACCACCAATAGTTGGAATCTACCAAAAATGTGAGGAAAAGCTAATTCCACTTAAGTAGGGATGTACAACAAAAGAAGCAGAATCTTTACGTTCCACCACCTTCCTTTCAGGGCGGGGTAGGGGAATTTCTTCTGGTCTCTTTTTGGCTCATGAGTTTTCTTTCTAAGAGGTTTTATATCTCTAACATTCTCATTATCTCAAGTGATAAGATTCCATCCAATTCTACTGGAGCAGGATGTAGGCCAAGCAATAGTTGCACCTTAAGAGACAGTCCACCATTTTAACAGGTGCTGAGTATACTGGCCAAGAAACACTGAATGGGGAGGGAGGTGATTCTCTGAGTCTCATAGTTAATTTTGATACATTATTCCTAAATCAGGTCTATATTCTCCCTGACTCTAAATCAATCTTCATACTACACCAAGGTTGGTTTATAACCAGATATTTAAATAAATGTATTAAGGGGTAACTTGGCCTATCAGATATTGTCAAAATCAACAGCCTTCTAGAATCCTTACCTTTCTCATTACCATCATACTCTCCAAGGTAAGGGGGAATCTCTGCCTGATATTGTAAACCAATCATTATTTCCTACAGGAAAATTGAAAAGTAAAAACAACTTATTATAAAAATAAATACTGGAAAAAGATTTCCAACTCATTAATCAGTTACTACAGGTCAAAAGAAACTTCATCTTACAACAATAAAATGTCTTAAATTATTTCAAAAACATTTTAAAAAGCTACTTTAATACTTTAGTCCAAAAAGTCTATCAAGTTATGATGGTTGGTAACTCAGTTTACCTTCCTCAAATCTTCAGGTGAGTTACCACTGTCTGTTTCAACATCTTCAACTTCTGACTCCTTATCCCCATCACATGTAGTATTTGCTTAAAACAAGAAAATTAAATTTTAAAAAAGGTTTTTATTGCCTATTTTTGCAGCACCTGAAAGAATGCCTGGCATGTGATATTTATAAAAATTTGTTAAATAAATGAGATCAGCACAAATATACTAAGCTTCTTGTAATATTCATACATTTTGACACTAGTAAAAACAAGACACTGAAAAGACTAAGAAAGCACATAGTATCCGTATAATTATTTGGTATTCAGTCGAGTCGTTTGGGAAGGTAAAAGGCAAACCACTATGGTCACCTTAAAAGAATATAAAGCACTGGAGTTCTGATTATATTCATCTAGATTAAGACACACATAAAGAGCTGCACATTAAGGCCACCAAAGTTACGTTTCTGTGCACGCATGTGTATATGTGTATTTGAATTTGTTAACTGAACAGTTCTTCTACCATATAAATACCTGAGAAATAGGCAAGACTGAATGTAAGAAATTATTTCAGTTCAAAGATCTTTTAAATATTACTGATAAACATTAAGGGATAATACCAAGAAATAAAAGGAAAAGAAAAGGATTAAATACATCACTAAAATTAAAAAATACTTTTTGAGCAACTGACAGCTGTCAAAACCAGGAGAGTAGGATCTTTTAACAGAAGTCCAAAAAATGTCTATATAATTTCATAGTTAAACTAAGTTTGATTACCATAGCAACAGATGAGTCTTGGGAAAGAAAACAGCCTTGTAAAACTAAGCAAGTGTTTTAGTTTGAATATTAGTTGACCTCCATCCCAATAAAAAAGGTTATAATCTTATTCAGATTCTAACAGAATTTTATTTCAATCAAGTAAAAAACTTAGAATATTTTGCCAAACTATTAAGTGTAATAAAATGTACCAAGCTAGAATAACAATACTAGTATTAATCAGTAATGACTGGGTTTCTTACATCTTAAAGGCCTAGGGAAGAAATCAGAAGTTTCATGGGAAGTCACTGATGGTGTCAGATCATCTGCAGAAGACTGAGTTTCCTCATCATCACCTGACAATAGGTCTTTTGCTATTTCCTCCTATAAGAATATGAATGCAGTGCTGGAATTAGAACTGATTACATCTCATTAACTTTTAAAAATGTCTTTTTATAACATTATTCATAAACATATTATGCTGTTATGATATAATTAATAACTAGTTGAAGCTCCCATAGTTTTGAGATGAAATTCTATCATTTACTTCATGTAAATATTTAATAACATTTAAGACTTAATTATATATAATATTTAATAACTATATCAGTATACATTTATAGCAAACAATTTGTCTAATTTATGGATATGCAGAGTGCTTATCTGAAGCTGCAGGCTAATTTTTGGTGAATTTACAACAAAAGTAATCTTACTTCTAAGTAGTTAACAATTAAACTCACTTTCTATCAACATAAATTAACACAGTCAGCCCTCAGTATCCAAGAGTATCACATCCACAAATTCAACCAACCATGGATCAAAAATATTTGAAAAAAATGTTACATTGTTGTTACTGTGAACTATGTAGTTAGGCCTACAATAATGGTTGCATCTGTACAGAACATGTACAGACCTTTTTTTTTTTTTGTCACATTCCTTAAACAATACAGTATTACAACTATTTACATTGTATTAGGTATTATAAGTTATCTAGAGATGATTTAAAGTATACAGGAGGATATTTATAGGGTATATGCAAATACCACACTATTTTTTTTTTTTTTTTTTAGCTGAGCCATCCTGCCACCTGTTGACAGCTCAGCGGCAGCTCAGCTGGGGCCAGGACTCAAACCGCTGTTGTTCAGGGCTTGCACTCTTGAGCGAGCTCTTAACCAACTAAGCCACTTGAATTTTGGTATCCAAGGGGATCCTAAAACCAATCCCTCCCTTCACGGATACTGAGGGATGACTGTAAAACAAAACCAAAAAGTCTCCAAACTCCATCCTTCCAATAATTTGAAAAGTCCAACTAATGAATAGCTCTGACTAGTGATGTAAGTTCAAAAGAAACAGGTCTGAATTAATTTTTATGTAAGTGTATAGTCATCCTTGTGCCTGGTACATAGTAGGCATTCAATATTTGCTGAATGATTATGGTCATTAAGGTCTGTTGTACATTAATATCACATTTGATTGAAAAGTGGGAACATAACTCACAGGAAGAGGTTCCAAGATGTGGATTCCTCTCCCTGCCTGAGATCGGAAAGGCGAGGAAAGCTTTCCAGGGATCTGTGAGCAGAGACAGTGGCTGTGTGAATTTTCCTCAACAAGGACTAGGCCTTCCCCACAACCAGCCTATGTTAGAGACGTGTCACCGAGGCCTTGGCTGCTGTAGCCGCTGTCACTCGCAGAGCCCAAGAAAACAGAACTTCTCTCCAACCACGCCATGCCTAAGCCAGACCGGTTTAAAATCTTGTGGGGGATTTATTAATTAATATATTCCAGTGTTCACAGGATCAAAAGAAGTTAGGGCAAAATCTATGTTTAGATATAATGTGTCTGCATAGGAAAGATGGAAAAATTACAGAAGAATACTCAAGCATACAATGTATTATGAAGTTACTACTACTATTAAAGTAGTGGGATCAAAGCCAAACAATATTTAAAACAGTCACCAAAATGATAAAAGCAATGGGTAAATAAGAAATTTACATTTCAGAATTATGAAATTCTTTAAATTAAGGAAACTCTAATAAAAAGTCAGTGGTGACAGATTTGAAATTTTTCTTTTAAATGGTTGTACTTACTTTGTCTAGTGTCATATCTGGTAGTTCATCTGCAAGTTCACTTGGGGAACTATTTGCACTGGAATTTGCAACTGCTGGAATTGTAGGTTCATAGCCATAGAATGCCAGTAAATCTTCTAGAGGCATGTTTCCTTCCTATTCAAACCAGGACACAAACATGAACTCAGGAGATGTCACAAAACAGAACTGCAGATAAATTGTGATGCCCTTAATGTTCATAAAGCACATTATCAAAATAGAAGTATCAAATCAAAGCCAAGTTTTAGTTTTTCCTTTTGTTCCATTGCCAGAAAAGTGTCAAAAACAGCTATTAGTAATATTAACAAAAGCCTAACAATTAACATCTTAGTTTTTATTTTCTAGCATCACTTCAGTTTTTTAAAATATTCCTCAAATAGTTGCTTCAGTGCAGATTTTTTTTTTTACCTTTCACATATAAAGCTTTGCTTGAAAACATTTCCAATTAATCAATCAATAACTTCATGTAATTTTCAATTTGTCTCCTTGCAATTAACAGTTTACCACTTGGTTTAGTCTTCATGTTAATTAGAAGATACCTGATGGGAAACCTTTGCTGAACATTTATTAAAATCAACAATATTTATATATAATATTCAAAGCACAATTATCCTTTTATATTCCTACTAATACATCTATCTTCCATACCAATTGTTTTATGTTTTTTTACAAAACCATCTATTGGAGTTTGTATTATTACCACCATCTTACCAATGAAAAAACTGAGCCTTATTTCTGGGTTCAAATTCCAGAACCCAGTTCCCTTACTGGCTGCACTGCTTTGATAAAATTCATACTCTGGTTGCATTGGGGGGCCTGTATTATGAATATCTATGCCATGCCACACAGTGACACCCAGTCACTGTTTCCCCCCCCAATAATCCATCTGAAAATAAGTGCTATACAGTTGAGCCTTGAACAACACGGGTTTGAACTACATGGGTCCACTTAGCCATGGATTTTTTTCAGTAAATATATTGAAAGTTTTTTGGAGATTTGTGACAATTTGAAAACACTTGCAGACAGTTTGAAAAACCTTAGGATTTTTCTTAATAATATTTTCTTTTCTCTAAGTTCCTTTAAGAATACAGCCTATAATACATATAATATATAAAATATGTGTTAATTTACTATTTATATTAATAGTAAGGCTTCTAGTCAAAAGTAGGCTATTAGTAGTTAAGTTTCTAGGGAGTCAAAAATTATATGTGGGTTTTCAATTGTGCAACGGGGGGTCAGCACTCTTAACCCCCATGTTATTCAAAGGTCAATTGTATTTCCTTTTTAAAAATATTTTAATTCAACTGCTAAAGTATATAGAACTATTTAAAATTATTTAAATAAATAACTTAAAAACGATATATCCACAGACAAGTTAATTTGTTAAATATTTTTAAGATATTTATGTCCATCTAAAAAAGAGATTCATTTTTAAAGCTTACTTATTGGTTTAGTATTCCCCTTAAGACAATATACCTAAGTCATGAAGCAAACAGCATGAAAATGCCAAGCAGAGTGTGCAAAACATGCCCACAGATGATCACTAGGGTGCTGAGAGGAGCCGATGATGAATGACTCCTAGAGAGCCAGCTGACTGCCCCCCAGGGCCTAGAGGATGCAGGATCTGGGGGGGTCCCAGGAAATCTGGCCTTCACCCTTGCAGGTATGTAACATATTTTTCACTGTGCCTGATTAAAGCAAATTCATGCTAAATAAACTTAGAATAAGATATATGACAGAATGTGTTAATTTGTAAATTTGCATTAGGAGACCTGTGCCTTTCCAATGATCACACAATCATGTCACTCATGAAATTCTTTTAGCTTGGGACTGAAATCAGTAAAAAGCTGCTCTGGTAGCATGGATTCAACGCAAAGTGAGTTCGATGGTCAAGATAGACAGAAGTTCACCCGATGCCACGGGTAAACCTTATGAATTCTTCTTCTCCCAAATCCAAGAGCCCCTCAAAGGTGCCCAGAACTAGATTTAGAGCCTCTCTAGTCCTGCTCCTTGCAGAATCCATGCAACCCATCCCCTTTGGCTCATAGTGGTTATAACATAAGAGAAGCCTGGGTTGCAGCCTTTGTCAACCACATGTCAATAGTGTTTATCCAGAACCTCAGAGTTTCAGATACCCTCCGTGAGTTGCAGAGATGACAATGTGCACTCATCATACAATGAAAATCCACTTTCCCTTTATACAGTGTTTACCGGGTTCTAGGTACTGTGAGGAGGGCTACCAGCTACGGATATAGAAATGACACTTATAGAAAAATTCCTGCTTTCAAGGAGTTCAGTCTTAGTAGAAGAAACAATTATAATATAATGTGATGGTTACAATAATCACTTCTGGAAAAAGTACTATAAATTGGCAGGTACAAAGAAGAGAAAACCTGCATTCCAGGAATAATGGTATAGGGTAGAGAGGTACCACGCAGGGGGCAAAGACTGAGCTAAGACTTGAAAGATGAAGAGGTATTTGTAGGTGAGGGTTGTATACTAGGGACTTGGGGTCTGTCATCAGAAACACTGAGCTTTGACTGTGCCAGGGGGCCACTGTGCCAGGCGCTGGTATGAAACACAGGTCTTGCCTTTTTACAACTTATAGTCTAAGGGGGATACTGACAATACACAAATACAGAACTACTAATTATGATGAATAAAAAGGAAATAAGTAAGGGTCCTAAAGAAAAGTTTGGGGAGGTGAAGAGATAAGAGGAAACAGGGAGATCATACAGGATGCTCATGCTGGGTTAGGGTACTGATACAGACATGGAGAGAAGTGAATAGATGAGATATATTTTGAGGTACAATCAAATGAATTGCTGGATATTGGAGTGAAAGGGAGAGGGAAAGATACTCCCAGACTTCTATTTGAGCAATTGCTTAGATAGTGGTAACTTGTACTGACATAGAAGAAAACTAAAGGAAGGAAAGATCTTTGAAGGAAAAAATTAAGAGTTCTACATAGGGTACAAGCTAAGTTTGAGAGGCCTATGAAACATCCAAGTGGAAAAGTCAACTTGGCCGGGAGCCTGGAGCTCAGAGGATCAGGCTGGGCTAAAGATATAAATCTGGCATTCATTAGCATCTAGATGATATTTAAAGCTCCAAGAGTTGATGAGCTCACTCAGGGAGAGGGTAGAGAGAAAAGAGAAGGGGATACATACTTTATTATAAGAACTTTCAGATATATTACCCTACAGGCAATGAGGTATGTCTAGAAAATTTTAAACATTGTTTGCATTTTGGAAATAACATTCTAGGGGGAGTAGAAGAATGAGAGCGTTAACTAAACAAGGGAATTATCTGAGCAAAATTAAGAAAAAGAATCTGTTTCTTGACTTACTTGATAGGGTGAATGAAAGTGACACTGAGGCTAAATGGACTGCCCATTTCTGGCCTGAGAAGGCCAAAGAGCTACAGCACCATGAGACAGAAACCCAAGACAAACAAACTTCAGGGTGGAGGGTGGGATGGTAGACAATGATTTAATGTAAAAGCTGTAGCAATGGGCTTGAATTTGATTATCCAGAAAAAAAAGATATAGAGTACGAAAACAAAAGCTAGAACTCTGAAGAACACCATCAATTAAAATGTGGGCACAGAATGAAAAGTCCATAAATGTGACAGAGGAAGACTCCAGAGAGCAGAAGCAGAACTAGGAGAAAGCAGGATTATGTAAGTGAAGGAAGAAGAGAGTGTGGCGAAACCAGGGGTAGTGACTTGGGTCAAATATCAAAGAGAAATCAATCGAGATAAAGACAGACATGAATTCTTAGTATCTGTCAATTAGGAATTTGACCTTAGAGCCTGTTTGGAGAAGCAAAGCTAAGCACCAAGCGGGAGGAGGAAAAGTACATACACTATAAAAGGAGAACGACGAAGGGCAACACAGGGTCAAAAGAGAATTTCTCTTAAATGTGGAGAATGTATGAGTAGCATTCTATGCGGAAATAAAAACTAAGTAGAAGACGAAACTGAGGGCAGCAGGGAAGAAATCGAGGCGTCAGCCTGGGATGTGGCAGATACTCCTAGGACAGAGGGAAAGAAGGAAACATGAGTATGAAAGTTAAGTTTGTATGTGTGGGGCAAACAGGAGGCTCCAGGTAGTTCCACGTGAAAATCCTACTCTCTCTATAAAGACACAAGCCCACTCATCTGTTGAGAAAGAAGGCGACCACCTTAGTGAAAACCTCATTAATTCGTTTAAGGGATGACACTCTTCGCTCATACGAGGATAGTCCCGTAAAGGGGCCTGGTTCTAAAACACAGAAATTACCCGTGCTAAAAGTTTTAAAGCAAAACTGGAAAAGGTGCATCTATCCTCTGAAGCACTTTTTGCAAATGAGCTTTCTATTAGATAGAGCCTATTAATAAAGAAAGCACTTAATCCAAGCATAAAAGACATTTTTTGAAAACCGAGTTAGTAAATCTCTAAGTCTCTGAGGATCTGTGGTGACTAGATCAGCTTAGAAATTTGGCCTAGCACCTTACCCCAGGTATAAGGATGTTTCTCTTCTGTATTTGTCTCAGGTATTTTTTTTGGCCCTATTTAAAATTTAAGGGACACATTTAAATCTAGGTATACTTATAAATGAACTGTTTTATAAGCTGAAGGGTTTATATCAGGAAGAGAACAAGATTGAGAGGCAGAGGATGCACTTATTATTATTTCTGTTGGCACATCACACCTAACCCCTTTCACCTCCATTTCCTCATTTGTAAATAGAAAAATACCATAATTTCCTTGATCCTATTATGCATATCCTCACATCAGAAATCAGTATGTATACCATTACTAAGGTACAGTATTCCTCCCTGGCCCCATCTATTGATTTCTAAATCTATGGCACATCTTACAATCAACAATGCCTCGAAGACAAGGAAATAACGCTAATACTCATCTGATTCACCTGATGGTGTTGCTGGATGGGTCAAATGAGATTGTCTAAGTGAGGTACAGATCAACTTTAATATAACACTAGTTTGGTATCTTAAAGTACAGGATGCAAAACAGTATACACATAACGTTTTTAAAATGCTTAAAAAAAAAAAAGGAAGGACCAATACCAAAGTCTAAGTCAGCAGTTCTCAACCTGTGGGTCGCGACCCCTTTGGGGGTCAAACGACCTGTTCACAGGGGTCGCCTAAGACCATCGGAAAACAAAAAGATATTTACATTACAATTCATAACAGTAGGAAAATTACAGTTATAGAGTAGCAACAAAAATAATTTTATGGTTGGGGGTCACCAGAACATGAGGAACTGTATTAAGTTGAGAATCGCTGGTCTAAGTGCTACAAAAGGTGGTTTCTACTTCTCATTTCACAAAGAATATCAGGGGGAAATCTATATATTAATAAAAGAAATGTAAAGTAGTTTTTAACCTGAAACTAATAAAAAAAAAGGACTTTTTAAAAAAAAGTTATAGTTGTAAATCTAGGACTACTGAATAAAACCTCTCAGGAAACAGTGCCGTGAATAAATTAAAATATAGAAACACATGACATATAAACCTTAATGTTCAATAACAAAAATCTAGTTACATAATCTGTCCTCTGTGCTTACCAAATCGCTGCTGTAAGAAAACTTATTTTGTACTTCTTATTTTTCATACTAAATAAGGTATTAAAAAAATTTGTTAAGCACCAAAATATAGGCCATACTTATAGTCTACAAACTATTGAGTTTATTTACTATGAGTATAAAACCTTACTGTCAATTTTGAAAATAAATATTAACATCTGAGTGGAGACGCAGCTCTTAGGTCTTCACTGGAATTTGCTTAAACATCATCTGTATTATTTTGTCCCGATTTCCAAGAATGTGATAAAATGCCAAGAAACAAAACTTTATATATTTCAGTTGAAATATATAAAAAGGGCCATAATTTTTCTAAATCTACAAATTCAGTGATAGATATCATTACAAAGCAAGAATTTAATTATCATAGTTTACTAAACAAAATGAAAATCGCAGAAATCGGGGACTAGGTATTTCTGTGAATAGATAAGTGAGTAATGCTTTGCTGTTGATGGTTTCTCTATATCTTCTCTAATTTCCTTTTAAAACTCAATAAGCACAAATGAAAGCAATTACTACAATTACTACAATCTCTAGAAGAATATGGCCTCTAAATCTGAAAAACAGAATTTTACCAGATCATAAAAATCTCTAGTAGTGAACAAGTTAACACATTACATGAAATTCTTAATTCTTACTGTTTTACTGACAAAACAGTTATTTACATGACTGAAATGCAGTAAAGCACATTTATATCATTTTCCTATGTCATGCTGTAACTAGACTGCTGTCTCCCTATCTTTAACAACAAATGCGTAATCAAGAAAGGTGCATCATGAGAACACCTGGGACTTTTGCCCCATTCCCATAGTGGTGTCCTGACTTAAAAATCTACAGGAGAGAAGTGACTATTCTAAGAAGCCTTCCATGAACTTCCACACCAGGCCAAACGTCTTTTACTAAATATACCGGGGGTGCCAAAAAAATGTATACACATGACTTGTATTCATCCTTTGTCATTGGTATATATTATTATAATTTTAATGCAGTTTTTTCCTTTCTTAAAATGCGTATACATATTTTTGGCACCCTCGCTATATACCCTTTCTCCCATAGCTCTCAGTGCTTACTGCTTTCCTCGTTCTTAGCGTATCATATAAAAATATTTGTTCCCTTCAAATATATGGTGATGGAAGGAGAAGTGACTCTGGGTGGTGAACACACAATGCAATATATGATGTATTATAGAAATGTACGCTTGAAACCTATATAATTTTAGTAACCAATGTTGCCCCAATAAATTTTTTTTAATCTGAAAAAAAAGTATTTGTTCCCACTCGTCACCCCACTATAGACTGTAAGCTCCTAGAATTCAGGGACATTGTTAAACGGTTCATTTTTGCAATCCCAAGACCTACCACAGTCCTTGGCTTAGTGACAATGTTAGCTAGATTATAATTCTCAGCTATTCTAGGTAACATATGGATAAGAGATAGAAAGGAATTGCCTGAATAAAGCCAAGGCAGAGCTGAAGACTCTTGGGCATCTCTCCTCATCGACAGGCAATATTTTGTCATCACACCTGAAAGAAGTGATAGGCAAGACTTTTCTTCTTCAGTATTTCCTAACAAATTTATCTCTACATTCCCAAATATGTTGGCTTTTATAAAAGATATATTACTTATTTTTAAATGACTAAATCTAACTGCAACTGTGTTAGATTAATTTGCCAAATGAACGTGTTTAGAAAATTTCAGATCTACCAGAACAAGCCTGGGGTCTAAGCCCTGAAGACTTTGCTTTCTCTTTCCCTGTGTATTAACATGAAGAAAGAAATACAATAATAGCCTACCTCTGCCTCACAAAGATAGCAGAAGAGATTATATAAGAATGTGCTTTGCTGTCTTGAAGAAAAAGAGCTATGAAAACTCAAAAGGATTATTATTATTCTATAGTATTCCTGAAAGGTCTTGTCATTCTAGGCTGATTAGACGTGCGAGTTAAGGTTAATTTATAGATAAGTATAGTCCTACATTTTTTCAAGGTGACCCCTATGGAGGTATCTCTTTGTAGTCCTGGTATAAATATGTGTTTAAAATCCAGTTCATTTGAATTTATATTGATTTTGAGTTTAAAAAGTTATAAACTAGATTTATTCCTGCCAACTTTTTAAAAGATGACTGGAATTAGGAAAACGGACTATTGCTAATTTACATTTTAAAATAGAGTGAAATTTTTTTTCTCTTTCAAGTTTCTTATAGTATTCTACCAGATGTGAGTCATTTGAAGGAAAAGCCTTCTCCCTGTTATCTACTGCAGCGCTTAGTTAAACTCAAAGTTTGACCCTCAGCAGAACAGGGTGATATAATGCAAAGAGGGCTGGGCTAGGATTCAGAACTAAACTTAGCGCCTACAGTGGTCTATATCAATAAGATGAGCAGATGTATCTATTTCACTGTGCTGGTATAAACTTAAAAATTAGGTTAACAGATATAAAATAATTTTGAAAATTAAATTAAAATGCACTTCATCTATCCTCCAACATAATGAGAAAACCAGTGACATTCTATAAAAGTTAGGTCAAAAACAAAGGTGCTGGACCAGCCGAGTAGCGCGATGATTAAGAACTGGCTTGGGATGCCAGAGGGCCCCGGTTCGGATCCCACATATGAGGGCCAGTGACACTGCCCTCTACAGCTAAGATGCTGAACAACAGCTCAACCTGGAGCTGGGCTGCTGTGAGTCGCCGGCAACGGTGTAGGCTGCAGCCCGTGGCAGTGGGTTGCCATGGGCTACCGTGTGTAGCCAGTAGCCAGCGTGAGCGGCCAGGAGCCGCAGTGAGTGGCCGTCCAGAAGCCGGCGACTGATCTGCCTCGCCTGGGAAGAGTGCAATGATGGTGCCAGCTTGGGCCAGTGAAGCAACGTCCTCCACAACTAGACTGAAGAACAAAAGGACAGCAACTTGTCTGTTCCCCTTCCCCCAATTCCCCAGCGCTGTTCCCATCCCCCAATTCCCCAATAAAAATCTTTAAAAACAAAAAACAAAAACAAAGGTGCTGATCCTATTTTTATTTCAAATAGATTGTAAAGTAATTTACAATAGAATTTCAAAATTTTTACTAAAAGTTTGTATTGAAATGCTAAAGTAAAATCCTTTTACCTTTTCTAAGTCTTCAATTTCAGAACTGAAGTTTTTACCCTCATCCATCATTTCCTCTTCTTCAAGAGTTCTTTCATCATCATAGTCATGGACCAACATCTCAGCAGTGGGGTCAAAATCATGATCCTCAGAAGACAAAGACCCAACTGGAATGAAACAAACTCAATCACCTTACAAGTTCACAAGGTTATTTACAGAAGAAAATATTTTGTGTTCTTCTGCCAGTTCCTTTTAGTGCGTATAGGTGAGCTTTATTAAATGCATTTACTATACACTTTACAGGTTATAAAGTAAGACCACACAGTTCTGAAAAGATATCTAAACCAGCAAAAAAATAAGGCAGAGTAATTTAACACTTTTATAAGGGGTCCAATCCATGAAAATAAGACTTATAATAGCAGCAAAGTGATTTTTAAATGGAGTGGCCCTAAAAAAAAAATTTGTTCTAATAAGAAAGTCAAACTTGTTTATGAGTTGGTTTAATTATTTGTCTAAAAGCAAAAGGAAAATGTCAGAAAGATTATGAATGAAAGATTTCACAAGAATCTGTTATACACTAAGGCCAAACACTTCAGAAGAGAATATCAATTTTATCCAAATTCTAACCCTCAAAGATGCAAAACACAACAGAAATATGGTTTTTGAACAAATATAAGTTTCTGTGAAACAGCTATACAGCAATTCACTCTTTAAAAGCACTATCACTTTTCATGTCTATATCAGTATTTCAAGCTCCCAGCTTGAAATACTGTAAGAGCATGCTTTTCTTTAAATTACTAATAAAGTTCTTAAGATTATGTGAAGGGACTATAGAGAATCATATCGAAAAGTTTTGGAAGATGTATCCCATTCCAAGTTTTGGTCAAATCACACTTGTTAATAAAATTGTTTTAATGGCAAATATGAAGTTAGCAGGATACTCTGAAAACCAAGTGGAAAAATAAATAAGATCCAAAATTCCAAGAGAATGAAATCAAATTATGAAAAACAGAATTTTCTCCATTTGTTTTACTATAGTATCTAATTCAATTAATTAGGCCAGTGGCTCTCAGAGCAGGGAAGGAAAGAAGTGTCAGAATTCTGGGATGAAAGAAGAGAAATGGAAGGAAGCATATTCAACATAAAAAGTTTGATCTGTTTTTAGGCAAGCTATTTAGCATTTGAAATTTCAAACATTTAAGGACACTGTGAGATCATTAACAAAATACTGAACTAGACCAAAGATTTTTCACTATGGAAAAAAACCAGACATAATTCAATGCTTTTGATTTTGAGTTTGGAGAACTCTGACAATTAGTTCCAAAAATATAATTTCTATGGGACTTAATTCTTTAGGAGGTGCCAAAAAATGTATGCACATGACTTATATTCATCTTTTGTTATCGGTATATATTGAGTATTACAATTTTAATAGGGTTTTTTTTTCCTTTCTTAAAATGTGTATACATTTTTTGGCACCCTCTGTATTGTTATTTTTTTAACGCTGAAAAATCTGCTCATTTCAAAACCTACTTAAATATAGGTGATTTAACTTAGTTTGAAAGAAAAAAATAATATTTATTAAATAGCTCAAAAGCAGAACATCCACCATTGCAATTTTTTTTTTGAAGAATTGTTAGAAATCTCTGTGGTATGCCAAAGTGTCAGGGAGTAAATAGATGGTAACTTAGTTCTACCTCTTTGAGGACAGGTTTCTGGCCTCTTTTCTAATCCCCATATCACTTGGCCCAGCAGGCTCCCTAAAGTGGAAGGTATTCAATAACAGAAATGAAGGGCCTCAGGGTCTACTCTTGGCTTTGGCCCCGGCTTTCTGGGACCTGAGGCAAGTCATTTAAACTTTCTGGGCCTAAGTCCAGTTTTTCATTTGTAAAACACATAGGGTTGGTTTAAATGACCTCAAGAGTCTCTTCTAGCAATAAAATTCCCTTTAAAATTGGCTAATCAATTAAAAACAGGTTATAAATTGTTTAAACACCAAAACCACACTGTCTTTTAGCTTTTTATTTGGATTGCAACTTCTTAAAAGCAGAGTGATACAAAATGGGAAAATTCCATTATCATCCAGATGTTTGGCATCATGTATATAAATATTCTTTTCCTGAAATCAGTTATAACCAAAAAAAAATGTTTGTCTCAAAATTAGAGAAATGTTTTAAAATGATGTTTAAATGTAAAGATGTAGACAGCTATTTTTAAAATAGCCACAATTTCTTCTACTTCTACTTCTTAACTATTTTATAATACCTTAAATGATAATCAAGAACTCAAAAGTCAGCTAAATATACAAAGTAATATGCAAGGAAATGGACTATTCACTCTAAGGCAACATGTTGTAACATACTTAGACTTGGGAGCTCATCCAAGGCTCTGCTATTAACTAGGTGACTTCTCAGTAGAGTTATTTAAAAGCCTCCTCAAGTGTAAAATAAGGGAGTTGGACTGTTCAGAGGTACTTTTCCTGGAGACTATGAGAGGGAAGAGTCAGCCAAAAAGGGGGCTGGAAAGGGGATGAGAAATGGAAACAAAGCTATCCTTACATTTTAGCACAGGAGGAAAGGTCCTCACTTAGATGGGCTTCAGGGGTTCCATAAACCCCATTGTATGCAATTATGTATATGTGCAGAGTTCTGGATGGAGTCCCTTGCTTTCATCAGATCCTGACAGGAGTTTCTGGCCCCCAAAAGGCTAAGAAACACTGTACTAGAAGATCGAAAGTTGTCTCACCTCAAAAATTCTGTATTACCACTTTTCTGAGCCAAACTTGGAAATTCTGTGTTTCTTTTGATTAAGGTAGCTTTACCTAACTCTCAAAATTCAAGTTTAATACAGACTATAGACATTGCTCAATTATGAAAAATATAAGACAAAATAGGGGAGACAGGAGTCGTAGTTAATAATCAATATAAGCAACCCCAAAGTTCTGACAAATGAGAGTTGATTTCTCTAAGAAACCAAAATTAAAAACTAAACTAAATTTCTAAAGTTGTGCAAAGATAATTTGGAATTAACTGTTTTGTTTTAGCCTTGGAGGAAAACAAGATTATGTGAGCATTAAACAAACATTCCTTAAAAAGAACACTTGTCTGTTAGCAACTTTGTAACAAGGTATTTTTTCAAAAAGCAGGAAAAGAAAAAGAATAGTTTAACTGTTTGTTCCTCGAACAATAATTACCAAAATGTACACTGAAACACTTAAAAACAAATGATGAAAAGCTCGCAGGACAAATTTCTGTGGAAAACCTTTAGCAAATAGATCTTTGAGCCCCCATTACCCTTTGGGACCCCCTGAAGAGGTAAGAAAATGGGACAAACCTGGGCTCGAACTTCCAAAAGAAGCCTAGGAGAGAGAAGAAAACGTGCGGTTAGATCGCGAAGCCTGGGGAAGAGGCAGCGCCGGCAACAGGGCGCAGAGGAGGCGGAGCCCAGCGCTCCTCCGCAGCTGCCAAAAGTGCAAGACGTAGCTTCGCTCCAATCGCTCCCGGCCCCTTTCGGGCCCCTCTTGGCTGCCTCGCCTTCCTTTTTGAGTCCCCAGTGTACAAACTCACAGACCCGGGACGGAGCCCGGAGTCTAACAGGCACTAACTCTAAGCAGCCCCTCGGAGCTCAGCAAGTTACAAAGGGAAGACGCAAAACCCAGAGCAGTCGGTTCGCAATATCGGTCCCCCATCCCTGGCATCTCAGGAGTCCCCCAAATCCCACCAGGCTCTCCACGGCCCCAAACACCACCTCGCAACGCACACCCTTTCCTGGAAGGGGCTCGCCCCCTGACAACCTAGTCCATCCCCTGGAGCCTGGGAGCCCCAACTCCGGGGCTGTCTTCTGCCCCCGAACGTAGGCCAGCGCGCAACCGGACACTCTCCCCCAAACCAAAGCGCAAACCCCCATCTTCTCCCCCGAGTCCGGAGACGCGGTCCTTCAGCTGCAAAGATGCTGGTTCCTTCCAGGGTGTTCACTCCCTCCCCGGGCCTGCCAGCGAGCCCCTCGCCCCAACGAGTTCCTGCCGAGGGGCTCCTGCTGCGCTACCCCCCTCCCCCCAGCTCACTAGTCCCGGGGGACACGGCCAGGGCAGCTTCGCTCGCCCTGCCTCCCTCCTCCAGCCTAGAGGGAAGTGGGGCTACCGAGGACCCCTGGTGAGAGCGTAGAGGGTCTTGGTCGACTCCCGTTCACCCCCAGGGGCTCCCGCATCTCCGGGGCTGCGGAGCGGGGAGTCCCGCTCGTCTCCCGCGAAGCCCGGGGGCCGCGCATCCCGCTCTCCTCCACGCCCGGAGCAAAGTGGACGGCGAGGCTCCTTCACGCTGCAGCCGGGACGCGGTGGGCTGAGCGCACAGAGCACTCCTCCCGCGGGGCAGTGGCGCAGCCCGCTCCCCGCTTTGCAATCCGGCCGCGGAGGGGGGGATCGGCCGGTTTCCACCCACCTCGGCCCCGGGAGGCGGCGCGCAGGCTCCGGCGGCCCGCGCCAGCTGCCCGGGGGCACGACACGGCGCAGTCCCCGGGCCAGGGCTCGATGCCTCTGGCCACCGCCTCCGGTCCGGCCCCGTCGCCCGGTCGGTTCGCGGCTGGAGCCGACGCGGCCTAGTCCCGGAGGGAGACCGCTCCCGCGCCCGCTCCCGCCCCCCTGTCGGCCCCGCCGCGGTCCGTCGCCGCCCCGCGGCCCCCGCGCCGCCCCCTGTGGGGCCGTGGGAAGGGCCCCGGATCCTCCAGGCTGGCTCGGGAACCGCGGGGGGACGCCGGGCGCCCGCTCCAGCCCGGCCGCTCTTGCCCGGTTTCCCTGCTCACCTCCGCCATATTGGTACCTTTAGGGCGAACGAGCAGCGCCGAGCCCAGTCCCCGGATGGGGCGCCTGAGCCAATCGCAGCAGCCGCCGCCGCCGCCGCCGCCGCGGTCCGCCCGGCACCCGCCCGGCGGCGGAGGCGGCTCGGCCCCTTATAGGGCAGGGCAGCCCACGACGCCCCCGGCCCGCTTGCACGCCCACCCCACCCGGCGCCCCTCGCCGCGCCCTGCGCCCGCTGCGGGTGGCCCGACTTGCCCCCGAGCTCGCCCGCTCCTCCTCTCTCGGATGGAGTAAAGTTCCTGCAGAATTGGAGGCAAGCGGGGGACGGATGGAAGCACGGGCGCGGGACAGACCCACGTCCAGCCATTCGAGGCCAAAGAACCGGCCAGGGCGGCTGAGGACTGGACGACAGCCACCCTGGTCGGGTAGGGCGTAGGGGAGGCGGGCAGGAGACTCGGAGGAACAACTCGACAGACTTCCTTAAGAAGAGAGGAGGCGATCGATGGAATAGACTGATGGACGAGAGTCAGCCCCGAGAAACGGGAGAAGTGGCGGATGGACGGCGACCAGGCGTTTGGCGTTTTCCCGGAAGATACCTGTCCGAATTGGGGGATGCAGAGCAACATACAGTACACTCTTGGAGTGTACGGTAAAACTGGTCATTTGCCAAAAAGTCTCTGGAAGATAGTGACAGTACAGAAGAAAAGACAAAAGATCAACAGGGCAAACAATTGGTGATACAAAAACTTGCACAATCCAAAGAAGACGCTCATAAAATATAAATCGTGCACATATGAAAAAAAGTAGAACAGTCCTAGGGATTGTTGATCACCAGATAGTCCAGGGGGTGACCCACAGGTACTCACCTGATAGACCTGTGGAAAGGCAGTAGTATATCAAAGTCCCTGAACTGAGTCTCAAAAACTCTACCTCCCACCTCCCTCACCAAAAGCTTAGGGTCAAAATGGAAACTGGTCCTATGGGCAAGTGGATGGGTGCAGGAGGGAGGAAAATGCTTAACAGGTATACCTGCTCCTACGCATGCCTTATGGCCATTTGCTCTTCCTTGGAAGAAGTAAGTCGAACTCCAGACAGATCCATATCCACTGAACAACTTTGAGCAAAGTATACAGAAATACCCACTAAAAAAACTTGTCAGTAGCCCACAGAGGTAAATCCTGCAAGAAGTGCAAGTCATCTTGCCAAGGTACCTTTGCTCAGGATTGTCTTGAGGCAGGAGGCCAGAAATAATAACATGTATGGAAAAGAAAGTCTGCTGTAAGGTTCATGGATAAGTGAGATGCCTACACAATCAGGAAAGTGAGGTGCAGGGCCCTGCAAAGAACTGGAGAGGAAAGTGATCTCAGATACCTGCGCTTTTCTCCCAACTGTTGCTGAAACAAGTAATATTAAATGATACAGAGTCGAGGTTTTTGATGTAATCTCACAAGTTGAGAGAGAGACTTTTTAGGAGTCTTTAAAACTTTCCATACTTAGTCCAAATGTGGAAGGTCTGAGTTTTAACCTGGGGTCTCCTTTGATTCTCCCCTCCAAGAGTGCATAATGAGGATGAGGCTGGAGACTGGATGATGGATAGGAGGGGAAAGGGTTACTTTCAACATTTTTGCCAACACATCTCAAAATTAAAGTTATTCCACTGGTAAAACTTAATTTATTTATGGAAATTTTAGGGAAAATTACTTCAACCATTTCCAAACATCGTAAAGATATGGAAAATTACACTTTCCCTGCTGTGAAAGATATCTTTCGACCTTTTGTCCAGTCAAATAACTCAAAAACAGCTGAACTTTGAAACCAGAGGCTTGGCACATGTTGTACGGACTGTCCTCAATGAGGCATTTAGAGTTTTCAAAATAAAAAATGGTTTGAAATTAAGTGCAGGTGATTAGCTTTAGAAATGTGGCAGTGAGCACGCCCTGTGGACAGAACCATTAAACAGTGCCTTGAGCTTGACCACAGGGCCTGGGATCTGAGTCATGAAGAAAGTGTCTCCAACAGTTTGCCTCGTACTTAATACTAAGGAAAAACATTCTCTTCATAGCAAAACATTGCTAATCTAAACTATAAATTTAGCCTTAGGTTCCATTTTGCCATGTTTAAGAAATATACAGACTCATGCACTTGCATAAACTTAGTCAAGTTTCTGCACATTCTCCTTTTATTAAATTATAAAGATTTTGTATAGGCATTTGTAATTTTGATTACTTATATTCTCTCCATCACAGTACATAGTTTATGTAGTCCGTGTCCAGGGTATTAAATAAGGATTCATAGAAAGATAAGTGAAGCTAAATCAATTCACAGTTTAAGGAAACAGGGCTACTTTCCCACCACTAATCACTAGAGAAAAATTTTACCACCCAATCTGATATAACACATTCCTTTTATGATAAAGTGTATAAAGTCTACAATATGTGCGTGGATTTTTCATTCTTTTTGATAACAAAGAGTTGGTACAGATAAAAAGTCCCCTTACTCCAGGGAATTGAAATACAAAATTACTTTTTACTCGTTATTATCCTGTCACTACACAAAAGGTGGCATTATGTAGAAAGTAAGTCCTATGCTGGACACTGGGCACTATGGGATCACCAGAAAAGTCCTGGCCCCTCGAAAGCTTATAATGTAACTGAGAATTTTTATATGTGGTAGATGGGAACAAGAGCAAGGAAAACTCAAAACTGAAACCATGGTAACTCCCTAAAGAGAACCAAAATATAATAGATCCTCCAGTTTTCTTTAGAAATGAAATAAATCAAGAAAGATTATGAATGTGTGGTTTGAAATGTCGTACAATAAATACACACAATAAAATAGGAAAATGTAAATATAAAAAATGAGGACCAGTGAAGCTAATTAGGCTAGGAGGTTAACATCAGAGAAAAAGTTGGAGCAAGAATATGCAGGTAATGAAGTATAATGCACAATATGAGAGTTAAACCTTAAATTTGGCTTAGAGCTTTCCGGAACCAAAGCCAAAAAATAAAAAAAGTAAATACAATCAGTTGGTTGGTTCTCATTGTCTTTGAGGAGAAATACACAAATTCTTCAATGGAAGCAAAGCTTTTCAGGACACTTTAAAAGAAATGTCTTGCCTGAGCGACACAGTAACAGTAATGCAGAGGGAAATATCCTCTACCAGATCCTCAAACCCACTGGCAGGTGTTTTAGTGACCATGAATGTATGACCTACTGAAAGCAGTTTTAATAGGGCCACAATAATGCAATATAAATATTTCATTTTCTACAGATTCTATCTAACCCAAGGGAAAATAATAGACTATCCAAAGTTAATCTCGAGTGGTATGGTAGCCAGGCAGGCACAATGAATGACAGAAGCAAGCCAGTGTGAAGACAGAAGTGGGGGCAACAGCAAACCAGTAGATGGTAACCCTGCCTAAATGGGGCAGCCACTCACTTAGTCTCAGCAGACTGGCTCTTGCCTTGTGAGACTGTGAGCCCAGTGCTTCCAGACCTTCTGATTTTCCAAGAACAGCTAGAAAGCTGGATCTTCAATGTGAATTCTCCTGGTTTATAAAACTTGTCAACTAATTTAAAATTTTTTAAACACAGTGTAGGCAAAATAAATCACATTCAGTAAATCATGTTAACTGTGAGCTTCCAGTTGGCAGACTAACCTGGAACATCCACGTAATATCCTCTCAACATGGCTTGGGATAAGACTGCAATGCCAACAATTCAGCTCTCCATCACATTTTGCATTTTTCTAAACATATACACTTCTGTGTGAAACTCAAATATTCTTTGTTGGAATGAATGACTACTCTCTGAGAAAGCTAATTCACTGTAGGGAGCTTTGCCTAAACAAAATTGTTCACAGAAGGCAGATGATCTTCATGGTACCTAAAAAAAAAAAAAAAAAGAGCATTCAGAGATAAAAAAGAGAGTAAGTCCTCAGTTCATTACAAAGAAGAACGGGACCTGGTCCATAGACATGAGAATCTATCTGACCTATGATGAGTCAAGGCTGACTTTATAATAAGATGGATGCATCAGGCTAACATACCTTTTGTGAGACACACCACTTAGATCTTACAACTCAGTGGCTTTAAATTTAAGGGATATTCTCAAAAGAATTTTGAAGAACTGTACCCCTTTCTACATACCCAAGTGGACATCTAATTTTTTCATATGTTTAAATAGTTGTAAAGGATATACTTTACAACATACTGTAAAGGTCATTGTAAAAAAAAAAAAGCTATTATATAACATTTTAAAATGTATGCAATGTAATCTAAATACCATTGCAATTTGATATAGCCATTATTCTTTTAAAAATGAACATGTTTTTTCTTTAACAACAGAACATTTTAGGATTCCTTTTTCTCCTTAAACTCATATTCCCCTTCTCTTTCCTCTAAAGAATTTTATCCCAATTTAACATGGTTTATGCCTGGAAGTCTTTGGTTGATACCCTACTATCTTGCTCTGCAAAACAAATATCCCTATAAATTGACACTCAAAACTAATACTTTCCCTCTAGATTACATTATCAGTATAATTATTATTAATTCACAATCAATAAAATATACATGTATTACAAATTTTGATTAAAGCTTATTGAACAAAAATCAA